GTCTTTTCCAACATTCAATTGTAGCAAAATGATTTCACTACCACCCCATCCCCAAAATAACATCAAAGCTTTGAATTGGTATGACAATTAACTCTACTAACAACTTATCATAAACATGAACACGCACTACATAATTTCTAGTGCATAAAAGTCATTTTTCGAGGATAAAATAACACAAAGCAGGAGTCAAATCATAATATTAACATGCAAACTAACAACAAATTCATCATAAAAAAAAGTATGCGATGTACTTGAATCTAATAAAACAGTGTCAGGTTGATCTTTAAGTAGTAGCGTACCTGTAACCACTTCTTTAGACTTTTTAACTTCTTAAAAGGTAATTGCTAAAACTCGAGCTTCTACTGGTTGCTCAGTTCTACGTGTTGAATTTTCACCCTTTATTTGCATGGTTTTCCTAAAAATTAAGTTCTGCGGGGCTTGCTGCCTTTCAAAAATTTTCTAAGTTGTCCCCGTCCTTGAATTATTAGTGGCATCTTGTCTCTTTTCTTTCCAGTAGACAATTCATTTGAATATGCTTTGGTTTTCCGCATTCGTAACATTTTTTAGAAATAATCAAACACTGCCCAAATTGTCCTTTTCTTATTTTTTCCGATTGGAGCTGCTAGTGCTTACCTTTTGATTTAATTTTCTCGCTTTGGAAGTAGTTTCCTGCCAAAATCCTTTCGCTTACTTTCCTGAGGTTGCCACAGTGGATTGGAAAATTTCAGCACATTTTCAACTCTTTTAGCACTTTCAACTAGCATTGAAAAATCACTAATCCCATATGGCACTAAAGTTAAATTCAACTGATCTCTAAAACCATGTAGAATTTTGTGACATTTCTTCTGGGTGCTGATTTAATAAGGTACATATTGACACGGATCAATTTTACGTGATTTCACCTATATTTTTCACTTCTTTTTATCTATTATTTTTGTTAATTTATCACATATTTTCAATTACGAATGTGTAAGTTGCAGATGTTAAATATGAGCAAATTGGAACGGAAAAATTCAAGAAAAAAGTGACCTGAAGCGGCGTGCCACGTCATATTTGGCAAACCTACAATGTGACCACGCCGCTCTGTTCAGCTCTCTGGCGTGACCAAGCGAACGAGCAGGAAACACTTTTGGAAGGAAAATTACTTGCCATATCCGTGGTTCTTGTTATAAGAATGATTTTTAGGGCTTCTTGGAGGATTAATTTGGAGCAGAGGAGAGTTGGAGGCTGCTGGAGACAAGGATTAGGGAGAATTTGAGTAATTTACTTAAGGTCTTCTTCCTCCCTTTGTTGAAACATTTAAGGATGATTTTTTCCTCTGTTTTATCAGTTGTGAGAGTTTATTGTATGAGATGACGATTGCTGCTATTGTAGAGAAGACAAGTTACTATAAGTTTAATATGTTTTTATTTCTTGCAATAAAATTCTGTATAGTTTTCATTGCTATCATTTTCTTGACAATGTGCGGCTAATTTTTTCTTCGTATCTCTGTGATGTAGGGATAATGGATTTTATTGTGTTTTTTCAAAATATTTTTTCGTTAGCTTTTTATTTGTGTTTTCATGGTCTATGTTGTTGGTTTACTTATGAACGTCATTTACTCCTAGTCTAGCCAACTAGGATGTTAAAATATTTCGTGAAAGTACGACCTCTAACTATTGGGTATTGAAACGAATGGTTAATCAGAGAATCCTGAGAGGATAGACATATTTCAGTGGGATTCTGCAATCTTTTCAAGGCGTCAGAACATTCATACGAAATGTCATGGGGATTGAGGACACGTTAATTTCATTGATTTTAGGCTTCTTTTAACCTAGACATAAGCATAAGGAGTAATATATCATTGATTGAAAACAATCACATAGGAAAATATTTAGAAAAATCAAAATCAGCACGAGCCCCGAATCACAGAGGCACAAACCTCATCATTCTTGAAGGAACTCACAAGTTCTTTCTCGCTGTTTCTATTTTTTATTGCCTTCAATTTACTTTGTTTTTGCTAGAATCTTAGAACTTTAACGTTCTTTGCAAACGCCAAGTTAGATTCACTAAATTAGTAGAGTTTTCTCTGTAGAAATAATTGTTAAGACGTTTATCGTGAGATCGATACACACTCTTATACCGCATACTAGTCGACACATGCACTTGCGTTGTACAACTAACTTACTTCGCGATAAGTTTTGGCTTGTCACATATCTGACAAGAGAAGTGAATTCTGTCTCATATTGCATAACTGTCTGGGATCTTTGAGTTAGATTGAAGAACTTATCTTGCAGTGCTATTCTGGCTGAAGGTATAATAAACCAATCTTTGAAGACTTTAACAAATTCTTCCTATTAAATTTGTGAAAGAGAAGTGTGCTGAATTTTTTTTTTATGTTGCACCTGCCACCATCTCTCTGTTTCGTCTTCTAGGATCAAAGTAACTATCACCAATTTTCTGTTTTTCGGACAAATCATACCATCTAGAATTTTCTAAATTTCTAGAGCCAATTGTCAGCAACTGTAAGATCCTTGACACCCACGAATGCAGGTGGCTTGAAAGATTGAAATATCTTCCAATGCCGATCAACTTTAGCCCCAATTTTAGATTTGGGCCCTGTACTGGTGGAGGATCTTTCGAATGCAGCCATTTTGTCGACCACTTGTGGTATCAATTGAACGATGCTCTGTAGCTCAACAGTTCTGGTGTTTTCATTTATTCTATTTTGATTTTTATTTTTGTCAAAAATATTTTTAGATTTTTTTCATGCGCTGCATCTGGCCTACGAGACTAGTCCTCAACACTCTTGATTTAACTCCAAGCATGTTTATCTGTATTGACATATTTATTATTTAAATGTAATTTATCTTATAATAATCATATATGCATGCATGATACCTTAAAACCGTATGGGTTACTCGCTTTAGGTTCATTAACCTATAGTTATGTATAAATCAATTCATATTTGATCTTGTTCTTACTTCTTCTAAATCCAACACACTTTCATCATTCTTTTCATCAAATAACCATGCTCTGATACCAATTTCTGTCACACCCCAAATAACCCTCATGGTAGGGTCAATCGTGGTGTTATAGAGGCTAACAATTTGGTCAGACTAACTCTCACCAGCACTCATCTTGAATTGTAAAATTATGACCCCGTGGGTGATAAATTAGTTTAACGAGATTGCTGCAACATAATTGATATATTGCATTTCATAATTCATTCGTATTTATACTCGAAAACGTGGAAAAAACATAACCTCAAAACGTAAAAAACTATACAGAGCTACTAAATCTAATATAATAAAAATACGTACTATAACATATGTATAAACTCTCAAAACTATCGTGCAAAAGTTGTACAAAGACACCTGGCTACTCACCCCTATACTCGTTTCCCCAATCTAGAATGCAATAATAAAGAATGGCCAACAACGAGCTCAGATAAATAATCAGGGCTAACTTAAAATTTTATACTTGGAAAAGAAACGACATGCATGCTCGTATGAAGCTATATAGCTCTACACACACAAGTCATAACATGTTAGCATAGTAGAGAACATGATAACAGAGTAGGTAGTGTAAAAATGAAGACTATAGTATAAACATTTATGTCATAAGCTTGAAATCATAAGTATGTTCATAAGCTTATTATCGTATGTAATCATAACAATATCATTTCATAGATATCATTTAATGTTAATGTCACTTGGAGATGTATAGGTCTCAACTATTTCCATGTTATGTCATCATGAGTTGTCACCCTGCTCTAAAAGCCATATGAACTATCGATAAAAGTTTTGTTTCCCTTAACAGAGAAGTTATCAATAATTCCCCTGATAGCCACGGTTCCCTAACGTTCTGTGACTGAATAATCCTAATGTTTCCTAGATTGTCATCCCCATTAAAATATCAGGAGTCGAGAATACTACATCTCTGCATAGCGTACTTGCAAGAATTCATGTAATAGTCGACCCATAACATTTCTTTTGACATTTCATTCTCATTATCCGACCCACTGTTCCCGTCACGGTTAATTCCAAGCCCCGGGTCAGGTTGTGACACTTGATTTTTTGCTTTAAAAATGATTACATTATTGTTTATTTTACATGTATTTGTGAATCTACACTCAGTGCAAAATTTTTTTTTTATAGTTAGTGATCTTTAATCTATTAATCATTGTTCATTTCGCGTGATCAACAATTATTGTGACGCTCTTGCTAATTGTAAATCTTAGGCTCTCAAGTGTCCTGTATCAAAAATTGTTCTCCAATGGTTATGTACGAGAGCTCCTTATTTGCTTGATTATCATAAAGTTTTATGTCAGGTTGACTTAATCTTAAATTAGTCCTTTGGAAAGCTTCCATCTTAGGGCTATGAGGCCTCTTTAAGAAAATAACTTGTGGGATGCTATAAGTAATTGTTTTAGGATCCATATTTTGCCTTCCCATGAAAACTATATGATTGTTGTATTCGTTCTATATTATATCTTAACCATGCATTAGATTCCCTTAGACCCTAGAATGTCCTACCTAGAAAGCTCTGCAAGATTTTGCAAACGTTAAAACTTTCAACCGTTAAAGGGCCAACTATGAAGGTAAAGGATCAATCCATGCAGAAATTGTTTCTTTAAAGTTGGCCATTACATTCATAGCACCCGAAACATTGCTATTTACAAACCTAGTGCCCTCGTTCTTTCATTTTTGAAGTTGTCACTCAAATATCAAAATTCATGATAAAACCCTAACCCATATTTTTCATTTCTATCAAATTCTCAATGGGTTGATCATGACACACGGAAATACATCGATTCAGTAGGTCAAAAGAATCATCATGTGCTAGATTCTACAAATAGCAATGTTTCGGGTGCTATGTATGTAATAATTCCTCTTTTTAAAACATCTCTACCTATTTTCTGTGAAACTGAAGCTTTTACAGGTTTCTTTTGTGCATCAAATTGGAGATTGTAGTAACTGCTGTAGTATGTGTACTGATATTCTCTCTTGTTTGTATAGGTCTCAAGAGTTGAGCTCTTGGATGAAGTAATGATGCATGCTATCAATATTGCAAATGGAAAAAAATTGCCTGAAGTTCCAACCTTGATGTTTGAATTTGCTGGCACAGGTAAGTTATAACCTGTGATTTTTACTTGAAGTTTCAACTTTAACCATATTCTCTTGAAATAAGAAGTCATTTTCTTGTTACATTTTGAACAGTAATGATATGTGATGAGAGCTAAGAATTATTAACCATACTATTTTTATGTAAGCCCTGATAGATATAATCATCGATTTGGTTCATAACCCACAAACTATTTGCAATAACCAATTATAATAAATAAATAAATAAATTATGTGTGTTGCTCAAAAGAGACATGACGCTCACAAGGAATCAAAATAAAGAATTTATCTCCCCCTTTTTTCTCATTCGAACTGAAGGGAGGAATCGGAATCGAGAACGAGAGACAGAAGCAAGGCGAGGTAGAGAAAAAGAAGAAGAAGGACAGATTTTGTGTTTCTCATACCCGAGGTTCGACATTTCTTGTAAGAACAGAACATCGAGGGTGTTTCTGTGTGTAGGAGAAAGATGAGCGCTGTGCGTGAAGGAGAAGACGCGAAGAAATCACGGCGTGTGGGACTGGCAGTGCAGTGCAGCGCCTCTTGCGGAGGAAGAAATAGACGGCTCGTGCATCTTACAGGAAGAAGAGGAAGCTTTGCGTTCATGAGAGATGGAGAATTGAGTAGTGACCTAGGCTGTATTGAGACGAACTGAAGGTTTTAGGGCTGTGAGTTCCCGTACGTGAATTGAAGGAGAAGGAGAAGGAGAAGAGAAGGGAGGGAAGAGAGGAGGAAGCGTTTGTGAGTCCTATGCGTGAGCACTGGAAGAAGGATAGGTGGAAGCCATTGTGTGGAGGTGCCAACCAAGCCAAGCAGCTCTAGCTTGCAGGAGTTTAAGTTGTTAGCCAAGCCAGTAAGTTTTTATGTTTTAAATTGATGATATTGTTTTTAATTGAAAATATTATGTTAATATTTATTTTAAGAATTAAAATACAGGTTGAAGAACTACTAATTCAAAAGGATTAGGGATTTTGAATTGTCAATTTTGTAAAGAATAAGAGATAATTGTGGTAAGTATAGAGTTGTATCGTTTATTAAATAGTTAGTAAATTGAAAATATATTAATGATTAATATTAGTTCTTCTTAAATTAGATGTCAATTGCAAAAGAATACTCAAGTTAGAGAATGAAGAAGAAAGACACTGAGTAAGGGTTTAATTTTTTAGTTTTAATTTGCATATTTAATTAAATATATTAAGTATTTAATTATAATTCAATATCAGAAAAAATATGCAGAAGAATAAAGGTTGAACTAAATCGATTAATCCGAGGAAGGAGCCTTGGGTGTGAGGAAGCAAACCGGGCCTTTAAGTTAAGAGATTGATTTAATTAATTTAGATTTCTTTTGTAAAAATTGAAATCATATTTAAGTATTAAATTGGAACTATATTAATTAATGTTTGGAGATAAAGTTGAGGAATAAGCTTTTGAAGAGGTCTTTAAAATGTTTAGGTGATTAATTTTATTTCTAAATTTCATTAATTTTCATTATTTTTAAATGTAAGCTTGATTTTATTTATGCTCTATTTCAGCGAGATTTAGATTATAATAGTTTCTTCATATTTTTAGAAAAAAATACCCATGTTAAATAGCTGCAGAATGATTTTCTTTTGAAATTATTTGATTACTGAATGACATTTATATTATAATATGTGTATATATAGTTTATTATATGAAAATTCTAGTATAAGTGCATATATCAAATTATTTCATGACTTATATATATATTTAGTAATGGTACATTTATTCATCAGTTGATAAATGTAAAGTGCCTCATAAAAAAAATATATTTTATGAAGAATGAAAAAGTGTAATATATGAATACTTGTATGTGTAGCTAAGAGGAGTTTATCCCTTTATGGTGCAAGCAGAGAATGCTAATAATGTACCCCCCGTGTAGGTATTTTCTTACCACCTTTTATGGTGCAAGCAGAGAATGCTAATGTACCCCCCGTGTAGGTATTTTCTTACCACCTCGGATAATTATGGTATTTAGATCGCAAACCGCTGTGTCGATGAGAGAATATTTGTCAGAGGTGAGTAAATACTTTTTCACCTCAGATAATCGTGTAATTTAAATCACATACCTTTCTGCCGGCATGATAATATTGGCTAGAGGTGTGATATGTTATGCTTTGACGGTGCTCTAAGATGGATGTAAAAGTTAAGAGTACAAAATAAAAGTAAAATTAAAGATTAAACCTTAAAAGTAAAGTTAAAGTTAATGCATATTAAAGTTTAAGTTATTTTGTTGAGTAAATATCATGGAGACATGCATGCGATTATTATATGATTTTCAATAGTGAGATATGAAAGATCAGCATGCATATCTTTCTTTTTCTTGGATTACTGTAGTTTAGAAGTATGCTTTCTCTGCTTGGTTATCTTAACTCATTATATTGATTTAATATTTTTTCAGGAGCTTTTGAATAAGATGAATACTAGAAGAGTTAAATGTGTGTAGAATATGAGATCAACAATCGAAAAAATAAATTTTGATTTTTTAATTTAGGTACTTTCTTTAGTGGCTCTTTCAATTAATTTTTTGATATAAAACTGCTATTGATAGAAATAAAATAATTGAAAACTTAATTTCACCATTTAACCGTCTGTTCCCGCCTTAGTTAATTTTAAACCTAGGGTCGGGTCATGACACTATTAATGTTAAAAATATACTAAACTTAAATTTACATATAAAAAGAGCGAAAAAGAATAAAATTAAGTAGATCAGCAAACAAAAACAAGACAATCATTTTATATAGGTTCACCCAAATTAATCTCTACATTATTATCATTGATGCGATTTCACATGATTTTGTCGAGGAGATTTTCAATTTTTTTAAAGATAAAAAAATTTTAACTAACCGAAAATATCATGTTATTTTAAAAATTTTTGTTAATGAAACAACCGACAAATTTTTGTCGAAAATTTATGATATGAATAATTTAAATCATTGTGTAAATATTAGGGCGTTCCCTGCAAGCGACACAATATATGACCTGAATATAGCGAAAAGTGCGCAAGTGTCGCCACAACGACGTCCGATTATGTTGTCAAATAAGCAAGGGTTCTCACATTATGGACGGATTGAGGCAAAGGAGTTAGTCTATGAAACTAATATGTTATGATCTTGAAATATAGATAATCTTATTGGTAAATTAATTGAATTATTAGATATTATGACTCATAGGAAGATAAATATTATATGCATTCAAGAAACTAAATAGGTTGGAGAAAGGGCCAAGGAGATTGATAGTTTATGTTTTAAACTTTGGTATTTAGGTAGGAGTTGCACTAGAATTGGTGTAGGTGTAATTATCAATAAAAGTTGAAAGATAATGTTGTAAAAAATAATAAAATTTGAGATAAAATTATACTCATAAAGATTATTGTCGATATTAAGATTTTAATAATATAATATTGTCGATATTAAGATTTTATTAATATAAGTGTTTATGCTCCTTAATTAGATTTAGATATAGGTTCAAAAGAAAAATTTTAAAATGACCTAAAAGAATTAATACAAATGATAAGTTTTAAATAAAAAAATTATTAGGGAAGATTTAAATGAACATGTTGGTAGAGTAGTGGTTGACTTTAGAAATATTCATGGTGGATACGATTTTGGAGTAATTAATGAAAAAAATAGAATCATATTTTATTTTGCTTTAGCTTATGATTTTGTTATTGCTAATATCTTATTTAAGAGAAGAGATAAGCATATTATTACTTTTAAGAATATGTCTAATAAAACACATTGATCATTTTCTTATGAGAAAAATGGATCATCGATAATGTAAAGATTATAAGGTTATTCTAAGGGAAAAATTAAGTACTCAACATCGATTATTTGTTCTAGATTTTAAGATGAAGACTTGCAAGATAAAAAATATATTGAAACATTGTCATAAAAATATTTGTCGTGGATTTTTATGAGTAAACCTCAAGATTTTAAGATTTGGGATGTTCATGAATAAGCTAATTCTATGTGGAATAAAGTGACAAAAATTATTCAGTAAGTGACAAAAGTTTTACTTTGAAAATCAAAATGAAAAGTTTTTACAAATAAAAATAGTTAGTGGTTGAATAATTATGTGTAAGAAAAGATAAAATATAAGTTGTGTCATAAAGATTGGTTTAATTATAAAAGCTTAGAGAACTGGAAAAACAATAAGATGACTCGTAGAGAGTCTAAGAGAACAATTTATGACGCTAAGAATTTTGTTTAAAGTAATCTTTATAATAGATGAGATTATAAAAAGAGTGAAAAGTATATGTTTATAATAGCCAAACAAAGTGAAATGAAAAGTAAAGAGTCAATGTAAGTAAAACGTATTAAAGATGAAAATCAAAAGTTACTTTTCTTAGATGAAGATATCCAACATAAACTTTTCAATGAAGTTAATGAAGATACAATCTACCTTAGTGATTTTAATATTATTAATAATAATAAAACTTTTTATTTTTACCGCCGCATTAGTAAAAATGAAGTAGAGTGCTTTAAAGAAAATCAATGGAGGAAAATCACTAGGACTTGATATCCCAATTGAAGTGTGGAAATATTTAAGAGATTTGAGAGTTTTTTGGCTTATCAGACTCTTTAATATTATCTTAAAACTAAAAATATGACCATAAAACATAGTTAAGTGTTGTTGAGATGGGAATGTTTAGGTGGATGAGTGGCTTGACACTTAGAGGCAAAATACAAAACAAATCTATCCGTGAAACGGTTGGTGTAGCTCCAGTGGAAGAAAAGATTAGAAAGAGTTGTCTTAGATGGTTTGGTCATATTAAATGTCGACCATCTGATGGTTCGGTTAGGAGAGTAGATGTTTTAGATTCAACTTATGTTAAGAAAGACAAAAGTAAACCTAAAACTTCTTGGGCATATTGTATAAAAAGTGATCTTAATTTATTAGATTTAAATGAAAATATGACACTCACTAGGACACAATGGAGAACAACGATTCATGTAGCCGACCACACTTAGTGGGATAAAGGCCTGTTGTTGTTGAAATAACCCACAAATATTTGATATTTTACTATGGCTAAAGGGGTCAAACTCCTTTGAACCCCAGCAACATATTTACTGCTATGGTTAATTGCGGTTAAGTTTGTGTAGCACATATTTTTCTTAGTGCAAAAATTAGGCTTCACAGCATAATAGTTAACTCTTAGTAACCTGGATGGGTGGTCGTGCTTCAGCTTAGTAGTTGACTCTTAGTAACCTTGCATACTTCACCAGATGACTATATGTGAATATAATTGTGAATTTTGCCTGAAGATCTAAGATAACTCAAAAATCAGATTAAATTTTGGCTCTTTGATTGTGGCTCGTCAAAGTCAACATGCCATGTCTGGTATGGATTGATCTTGAATTGAGCTGAGCTTGGATTAGGTCAAGTGGAACTTGAGATCAAGTTTGAATTTATATGAATGTTTATATGATTGCATCTGAACGTATATTTATGTATATATGCGTATGGACACACATACATCAATGCTTTTATATATATGAATCTATATTTTTATTTGTGCATGCATATATATGCTGGAAAATTAGTCTATTTTGTGAGAATGAGCATTTTTAGGTTTGATTAGGCTGATTTTTTGTTCAAATAGATCTTGAATTTTAGTTGGCTTGCCAAAATATCTTGAGTCTTTTGCACTTAGACTAGATCATATTTAATAACTTTGGGCCGTCCTTGAGCCAATGTTTGATTGACTAGAGGTCTGATCTTTTTTTTTAATGATAGAATCCATTATAAATATATTATTAGTGATATGCTGGGCATAAACCAATTGCATTTTTTTTGGGGGGGCTCAATAGCAGTTACAGATTTAAACTCATGCAGGGAAAAAGAAAAATTATATTTCTTGTAGCTCTAGTTCTCAAACTCGAGTCCTATCCCCTAGGTCCCGAAAACAATGAGATATATTGCTTGATTTAAGGCCTTTTTGTTGGAGATTGAATTTTTAACAACCCTCATATGAAGCACAAAGGCCTCTGTTGTGCTTGTACCTTTTGGGAGATAGTAATTTTGTTGAAGGAAATGTATGTTAGGAGACAAAATTGCGTATGCCAAAATCTTGTTTTCAATTTGAATATGCCTTTGGTAATTCAGTTATCCGGACCTTTTGTCTTAATCTCTTCTTATATGACCTTAATAACACTTCTGCTTTTGTAGGTTTATTTTTGAAACATGATTCATTTCACTCTCTTCATGTGCTTTATATCCCATCTTATTTATGTTTCTTGATTCTTTTTGGCAATTTTCAGAAGCACAAGCACGAGAGCAGACTCTTCTAGTCCAGAAGATTGTTTCTGAACATAATGGCTCTGATTTTGTTTACGTTGAAGATCCAGAGGCTAAAATAGAACTGTGGAAGGTGATCAGTAAAAATGCCAATTTTCTTCATCTTACTGTCACTCCAAAATAAACAAATAAATAAAATAAAATAAAATAAAACAAAAAATAAAACCAAGTTAAATTGTTTATGTTATTTGTTACCTTCTAGTACAGGCTTGAATATCGCTCCATTTATTCATAAAATTTAAAGGAATACTATTAGATCAAAGCAACTATCATTTTTTATGATTGCCTAAAAAGTAGCCTTCATATTACCTCACATCTAGGTTATTTACTTTGTAATTCCTGAATCGTGGACCAACGAAATTGGAAAGAATTGGTTTGAGCTTACTTTAACTTCTTACTTTATATTCTGTCTACAGATAAGGAAGGAGGCTCTTTGGGCTTGCTTTGCGATGGCACCTAATTTTGAAGCGATGATTACGGTTGGTTTGTTCTTTCCTATTCATAATCTGCTTGTGCTGTTTTAATTGGTTCATTTCCATGATAATGAGGTAGTGCAGTAAACAATTAATTTGTGCACTTCGACTGTTTTTAGCAGTTTCTTGGCAAGATTTTTTTTTTCTTTTAGTTGGGTGCTACTGTGTGAATTTGCTTTTGAATTGCCCTACAATTATTATTCTCTCGGGAAAATGAAAGCATGTAATATATTTTTAGGAATTTTGCATAAGTATTATTTAATTTTCATGTTTTTAAACATTCATATTTGAAATTTATGTTTACTTTTGTAACACTTAAATCTTTAAATGACATAAAACTACCGCTAACATTAGCTACTAGGATGTTATAAATGAAAATATAAAGTTTTTGTTGTTAGAAGTATAAATATATAACAATCTATTTATATAAATCACCCAATATGCTTCTTTTCCTTTTGAAAATGAGAAAAATAATGGGGGTGGAATGCACTGATTGATATGCTGTACTTGTCCATACATGCAATCATACAGTCGTGTTAGAGCTAACCGGGAAGGCAACGAGAAGATATTGGGGAAACAAGATCAGCAAGCTGCATATTGTGTCACGAAAGGTCACTTGAAATTGTGGATCCATCACTATGCTGACGGTGCCTGCTCCTCGAGGTGCTGGTATTGTGGCCGCTAGAGTTCCGAACAAGGTGCTCCAATTTCAATCCACGGTGAAATTGTTCTTGAAAAGCTGTCAGTGGTACCAATGAGTAGAGAATGCCAAGAGATGGAACTAGTGCAAGAGGCAAAGGATTAGAGCTTCTAGGGAAGATCCCGAAGTTCTGAAGGTCTTGGTCGGGCTCTTGAAGGCTGCTAGCGTCTCGAGGGGAGCCACTGCCTCAGCATATGCTACGACGCAGGTGAAACTAGATCTCCCTCCTATGTATCTGAAGCTCGATAGACCGGCCACGTATCTGAGTTGCTAGCATTGGATCAAGATTGCTCTAGTAGGGAAGTGACTAGAATGATACCTGATATGGGCGGAGCTAAAGAGTGATAGTGCTGAGGGGGATGAGTGGAGGATCATACATGTATTGATTTATACTTTATTACTCAACTCGATGGTTGCATCGATTGTCACATTAGTGGATAGTATTCGAAAGGTGAAGGACATTTGAGCAAAGCTGAAATGAACCTATGTGGGATTAAGAACCACATGAAGGTGTTCCAGATTCAGCGTTACATAGAGGCAGTGGTACAGGGTGATAGATCGATTCAGTACTCCATAAAATTGCAGTGATTGTGGCAAGATCTTGATCACTTCTCTCTCACGTATGTCAAGTTGTAGTGATCCGAGGTGCATGAAGGGGGAGATATTTTCACAGATGAGGACTATGTAGTTTCTGACTCACCTGATGATGGTCCAGGCAATGATTCCTTCATTGGATGAGACCATCACTGCGATGATATAGAAGGCGAACACTCTGAGTCAAGAGGACATCGAGGTACATGGTCGGCTTTAGCTACCTCGAGTTCAAGTATGACAGGTGTCCAGGGGGAGAATCGCAAGTGCTACAACGGTGGAGAAGTGGGACACTTGAGTAAGACTTGTTCAAGGCCACCCAAGGAGAGAGAGACGAGTGGACATGGACAGCCTAGAGGCCATGGTCGTAATCATGGGGCCGAAAGGGGTGGAAGAGTGGGCCACCGGGCGAATCTGATTGTAGCGGAGAACGAGGGAGAGATCGGGGGTGCTGTTTACCGATAAGGATCATGAGCTCTTAGAGATGTTGAAAGAAAACAGAGAGCGACAGGTGATGTGACTGAGAATACATCCACTTTATTGTCATATGAAGAACACTACTGCTTATGCTCACTCAACTAAAGGTACTTGTGATACACTGTCGGCCGTTTTATTTATTGTCAACTTCACTTTCGTAGTTTGAAAAAGTGATGATTTTGTGATTTTGAAAATAATTTAAATATAAATATAATTTTTTTTAAAGAAGTAACGTTTTTTAATTTTTAAAATAAGTGAGACCAAACGAGTCTCACATTTTCAAATAGTTTAGATGATTTAATACAATACTACAAGCAATACACTTATCCCGAAGAATAAATATATTACTTGTAATAGGGATTTAATCATCTAGACTGAACAATTTGTGACATCCGTTTTGATCTGCGAAATATTTTATAAAAAGGCCAACAAGTTCCCCTATCTAACATAAAAATTAGATAGGGTTTATTTTATCTGGGTTCCTGGTTCCCTATAGAGGCAAGCCCCTATAGTTAATTACATCTTAAATGATCGAAATCACTTAAGATAACTCTCGATTAAGATCAGGTGGTTTTGTTTTCAAGATTTCAAAGTTTAGGTTTTCACGATTAGACATAAGAAAGTCAAATGAGAATGGCTCAAAATGTGAACAATTATTTAAGGAATTCAAATGAAAGAAAAGTAGGGGATATCACAGATCCAGGAGAAACCCCGGAGATGTCCCAACTATCCTATTGTTCGGCTTTATGTCTTTGAA